GGAGCGCAGGCAGAGGGGAATCGGAGCCGGGCCTTCCTCGCCGGCCTTGGCAGAGCCCGCCCTCCTGTACGGCCGGCACCGGCCACCAGGTGGACCAGGGAGCGGGGGGGCGGGGCGGGGGCACACCCGTAACCCCGCTCTGCAGAGCTGGGGTCGAGCCCAGGAGACCCGAAGTTGCAGGTGAAGCCCACGGAAGCCGTGGGTGCGAGGGGCGGCGCCGGGCCCCAGTTCCCCAGTGTCCCCAACCTGTGTCTACCTCTGACTTGTTTCACAGCTCGTTTCCCACCAGCTGGCCCGTGGGAACGTGCGGTAACCTGTGCAGTCTAGGTTGCACGGTGTCATTATATATTTTATAGGTCAAACATTAAGAAACAAAAAGGTGTCTGCATGCCTGTAATCCCAGCACGGGGGAGACTGGGACAGGAGGACGGTGAGTTTTAGGACAGAGCCTGGGTTATACCAAGAAGGTGTGTGTGTGTGTAAAGAATGGCTTCCTGCACAAGACCCAGTTTGAGATGGGCAGATTCCAAGTGATAAAGTTCCTCCCAATTCACAGTTGACTGGAAAAATGATTTCAAATTACAAGTGGAGCCAGGTACCAGAGGCTCAAACTCCTCAATCCTGGGATATGAGGACCGTGGTTCAAAGCCAGCCCAAGCAGAAAAGCCCATGAGACTCTTACCTCCAATAAACTACTCAGAAAGAGCTGGCTGAAGTGGTAGAGAACTAGCCTTGAGCACAAGGATGCTCAGGGTCATCACCCAGGCTCTGAGTTCAACCCCACTCCCCACCCCCAAATAAAATTACAAATGGGCATCAGGCATGGTGGTACATGCCTGCAATCCCAGCTTTCAGGAAGCTGAGGCAGGAAGATTGGGTTGGAGATTGATCGGAGATGCTGTCAGAGACAGATGATGAAGACAGATGACAGACAGGTAAATTACCAGCAGCAGAGGAACATTAAAAGGCTTTCTCTCTGCGAGTAGCTGTCAGGTGAAGGGAGTAGCTGGGATTTCCCAGGCTACTTGGGTTAGAGGCACACAGGGCTGTTACACATGCAGGCTTTGGGAGACTAGAGCCTCTTGGTACCATGGATTTCCCCTGTGGCTCTACAAGTGCCTGTTGTGTCTTTTGGGTCTGGGGAACTGAAGAATTTGGGGAAGGGCATAAGGCAGCTCCCTGTCCAGGAAGCTGGGCCTGGAGGCCAAGCTGCCTCGCTTCCCCAACTCCCCCAGGGAGCTCATCCAGGCCCATCCCGGGCTCTGAGGACCCAAGCTACCCCCAGCTGTCCTCACAGCACTTCAGTGAGGTTCTTGGGCCCCTGGATCCCCTCCAAGAGACATTGGTATCTTAAAAAGGAACAAAAGGAAGGGGGCTTGGGAAGCAGAGCTGATTTTACCCCTCAAATAGTGGAGTGTTCCTTCAGCAGGGACAGGACAAGACGGCAGGACCTCCTGAGCTCGTGCCCACCCCTCTGAGCCTGGGACAGCCCCTCCTCCCAGCTCTCCACACCCCAGCGTAGACACCGTCACCTACAAGAACTAGTTTGTTTGTTTGTTTGTTTTTTTATGTCTTCTGCAGGCCACAAGAGAAATGGAGACACTTAGTGAAGAACAGGTTTTTAAAAGTAAATTCGGAAGTATATATACCTGAAAATGGCACCCATATTTTTGGCAGCATTTTCTAGTCAAGCTGAACCAAAAAAAGAAAAAGCTAAGAGGGTTGAAGCCCTGGGCATTGTAGGAGAAAGCCAAGAGCGCAGGCTTCATCCTGATTCCATTTGCTTCTTGCTTTACATCCATGCACACAGCCCATCCCCACAACAGGAAGGCAATGTGGCAATATTCTGCAGACATAGCCACACTTCTTCATCCAGGTAGGACAGTGGCCCACGTGTGACCCCTGCCATCCTGTGAGGCCCACGTGGCAGCTGGAAGCTGGCCCAGCTCACTCCCTTGTAGTTAGAAAGTATGGCACAGATAGTCCAGTCTGGGATCTGTGTTCCTACCCTGGGTCCCCCTGGGACAGCTCTAACCACTGCTGGTCCTCCCCCCAGCTCCTCCCACATAAGACTCTGTCCCCTGGACTTCTGCACACAGCTGGCCAATGCCCCATCCACAGCCATAGGACAGGTGTCCCTGATGACCCTTGTCCCCAAAGCATCTGGTGATAGACCTCAAATCTGGAGGCCGTTTCTGTCCGGTGTGCATGTGGAAGCAGCCGTGTTTCCAGGGTATAGCCCCTGAGAGGTCCCAGTCCATGTCTGTCAGGTGAATGGGTGTGTGTGGAAGCTCCAGCTGACACCATAGTGAGCAGCCACGGAGGAAAGGCTCCAAGGCTGAGCAGTGTGCTAATCACACATTAACAACAACAAAAATGAATTGTGGTCTGAGCTCCAAGCCCAGCCACAATTTTGAGAGCTGGAAGAAGCTACCGAGACCGGGATGAAGATTTGAAGTCTTATCTACTCTGAAGTTCTCTTTCCTTAGAATGAAAACCTAAGTGTGATCTATGACATCAGTTCTGCTGAACCCTTAAATGTGCAACAGGATTATAGACTATGTCTATCATCCTAGCTACTCAGGAGTCCGAGATCTGAGGATCACAGTTCAAAGCTAGCCAAGGCAGGACAGTCCAGGAGACTGATCTCCAAGTAATCACCAAAACCCCAGAAGTGAGGTGTGGTTCAAATGGTAGAACACCAGCCTTGAGAGAAAAAAAAAGGTCCCAGGCTCTGAGTTCAAGCCCCTATACAGACACCAAAACAACAAAAAGAAAAAGCAGTGCAGCAGGCCTACTGCACTATAGTAGTGATTTGTTCCTCAGGGAGACTGGGAAAAATGGGAAAACCCTTTCCCTGACTTTCTATAAGTGCACATGATCTACAAGCTGCCACACGTGGCGTTTTAAAATAATTATTAGTACCATTTCCTCAATGCTTGCTGAGTGCCTGGGATTGTATACTGCATGCTTTAGTTTATGTAAATCACTTTCCAAGGTCCCATAAATTAAACAGACTGGATTTAATCCCATAATAGCCTCTACCCAGTATTCCCCAAAATAAACAAACCCCCAAAGTTCTTCCTAAATTGGGGCAGTAGGGAGAGGAGGAGGAGACCAGTTTAGCACCATTCCCAGGAATATACTATCCAAGGGCTGTGTGCAACTATTTATTACAACTAAACAAGCTAAAATTCCATTTCGCTGCCTTCTTTTACATGTTCAGTAGCCATATGTGGCTAGTGGCTGTCAGATATGGAATATTTCAACATGGCAAAACGTGCTACTGGACAGCACTGGCCTAGATACTGCCCCTCCATACCCAGGCAGCCCAGAACCAGGCCCTCTGTAGTCTAAGGAACACCATTCACCTCACTCTCTGCCCTGCCCATGTCTGCACTCAGAAACAAGTGGTACAAGACCACATACAATTTTTAGCTCCAATACTCCTACCAGAAGGTCAAAGTATTTCTTTGCCAAATTCAAACCATGTTTGAAATGTTTGAAGCACCTCTACCAGATCCCCTGCTAAGACCCTGCTGGGCACTGGACCGGCCTGCTCCTTGACAAGGTACGCTTGTGGCCGCTGAGCAATAGCTTCTCTGGCCTTGTCAGGCCCCTCCCGATGGCACCAGCAAGCCCTGAACCTGGGTGCTCAATACCAGATCATCCCCAAGAGCCTGAGCAACTCACATATGGACTTAACACTCACACTGCCTGGCAGAGGACAGCCACTGTTCAAGTAGTCTTTGTCTAGGTCATGTTCCTTAGCAACCAGACCAGGAACCCCAGCCCCACCCAGCTCATATGGGTTTGGCCATAGGTCCCCACTGCAAACCTGCACTCACCTGGCCGAGAACCAGACAGAAGTCCTTTGAGGTCGTCACTTTCTTCCACATGGTTGACTGTGCTCCCCTCTGGACCCCTTCATCTCTGCAAGGCTGCACAGGATCATGGATCATAAATGACAAGTCTGACTTTCTTGTGTTTGGTTTTATGATTTGTCTCTTTGCAATATTTTCTGACCTAGTTTTATGGCTTTGAAATAAAAGGCAATGGAAGTTGAAATGGACAATAACTCGACATTTTTGGAGAAGTCTGTGTTTGTAGCAGTGGATATGGATTAAGATAGCGGGAAGCCTGGGACCTGCTTCCAGTCTGTGCCACAATCTGTGGACAAGCCACAGCCCCTTTTCCAGTAGGTACAATAGTCTGTCTACAGAACTAACCACAGAGACTAAATAAGATAAAGAAAACCTTGTTAATAAGGCTGGGGCAGGTGATGATTTGCCCAAGAATTGACCATATAGATTACACCAAATAGTGCATGGTATCAGAATAATTTTCTGTGAAGGTTCTTGAACAAGGGTAAAGACTATGTCTTTTTCATTCCAGGAGTCTGGTATCCTCAGAACCATGAACCTCAGATCTCAGCCTCCTGAGTAACTAGGTTTATAGGCATGAGCCCAGCTGGCTCCATGTACCCTTTTGTAATATGACCATGGCCAGAGGTTTTCCCAAGATGAAGAGATGTACACTAGATCTGGAGAGAGGAGTAACCAGAACCAGACTTATCCCTCTAGAACCATGCTGGACCCCTCCTTCCCATCTCCTAGCTACCCAACCCAGGCTCAATCCCCACCCTCATCCTCTGTAACTCCCTCCCCTCTGGGAAGTTTCCATCTCAGGCTCAGGCAGCACCAGGAGTAGGACCTCAGTGAACCCTGCTGTGGAAGGGTGAGCAGCGATCTCTGGGAGGGAAAAAGGCTCCTGGCACAAACTGGGGAAGAGACTTGAAGGGGAGGAGAGCAAAAGACCATCCACGCCAAGGAAGTGGGGGTGAGGAATTGCTGTGTGCATGGCAAAGGCTCCCTGCCCTAGTCTGGCGTGGATACATCCCTTGAGGGTACACACACACACACACACACACCAGGTTTCAGCAATGGTGGCTCAGAAAGGACACTGTGACACCACGTGGAATATTCAGTCCTTCATTTTTCTTTCACAATACCAGGATGGGTAAAGATCCAAGTCAGCCACAGCCACCCACTCCCTTGAGGCCAGCAAAAGCAGTGGCGACCGCTTTGTCCTGCCCAGCCACCTCCCAGAGCAGACACACTTCCACTGAGACCACCAGTCTGCACCCCGGAACCATTACACCCAGGCCCGTTCTAGGCCCTGCCCCATCGTACCCCGCACCCTGGGCAGCAGTGCGCTCGGGATTGGACACGGACCAGCAAACCGGGCAGCCCTTCCAGAAGTGGTTGCTGGTGGCCGGTTAGCGCTGGCACTGTCCGTGGTGCTGGGGACGTGCTGTCCTTCCCTGGAGGCCGCCCTGCTCTGCCCACGGAACCGTCTGTCACCACCATGGGGACGCCCGGGCCACCCTGCAGCCCGGTGTGGCAGGCCGATGCCGCAGCTGGCTTATTCCACACCAGGAGCCTCTCCGAGGCCCCCCAACAGCCCTTCACTCCGCACCTGAAATGTGAGGATCTCCTGAGGTGTACAGACGCATCCAGTGCTGATCTAACCTTCTTCCTCAGCGCCCACCCCAGATGCCACCCGCGATGCTTCTGGAACTTTGACCCTTTTGATAGGGGCTCGCTCAAGGCGTGCCGAGAGCCAACGTTTCAGGCCATCCTCGGTCCCCCCTACGCACCACGCACGCGCACGCGCATCCCCGTGGTCAGTCAGGCAGGACCCGCATGCGCAGGCACACCTCCTGTGGGCAACCAGGCAGGACGCGCATGCGCACTACGGCGCCTCCTCGGCCGGGCGGGGCCGGGGCGCGGCCGCCACGCGGTGCACGCGCTGGTGCTTGAGCAGGTGCTGCTTCTGGCGGAAGCCGCGGCCGCAGGCGGCGCACAGGTACGGCCGCTCGCCGGTGTGGTTGCGCCGGTGCCGGGTGAGGTTGGGCTTCTGGCTGAAGCGGCGGCCGCAGTCGGGGCAGGCGTAGGGCCGCTCGCCGGTGTGGATGCGCCGGTGGATGGTGAGCGCCGACCACCACGAGAAGCTCTTGCCGCACTCGGTGCAGATGAACTGGCGCTGCTCGCCGGGCCCCGCCAGGCCGTCGCGGCCCGGGCTCCACAGGCCTCCCGCCGCCCCGGGGGGCCGCTGGGGACCGCGGGGCGGGGTGGCCGAGTCTCGGGGCGCCTCGGGCCCGGGGGCCGGCGGCCTGGCGCCGGCGTGCGCGCGCGGACGGGCCCCGGGCAGGTGCGTGCGCTGGTGCTTGAGCAGGTGCTGCTTCTGGCGGAAGCCGCGGCCGCAGGCGGCGCACAGGTGCGGCCGCTCGCCGGTGTGGTTGCGCAGGTGGCGCGTGAGGTTGGGCTTCTGGCTGAAGCGGCGGCCGCACTCGGGGCAGGCGTAGGGCCGCTCGCCGGTGTGGCTGCGCCGGTGGATGCTCAGTGACGACCACCACGAGAAGCTCTTGCCGCACTCGGTGCAGATGAACTGGCGCTGCTCGCCCGCCGCCCCGGGGCGGCCCTGCGCCGCGCCCCGGGCCCCCGGCTGCCCCCACAGGTCCTGGCAGAGCCCCAGCCAGGCCCAGTCGGGGGGCCCCCGCGGGGCCCCCGCGGGCGTGCGCGCGCTGGTGGATGCGGAGGCCCACCTGGTGGCGGAAGCAGCGCTGGCACTCGGGACACGGGTGGGTGGCGGGCCGGGCGTGGGTCTTCTGGTGCTTGAGCAGGTGCTGCTTCTGGCTGAAGCGCCGTGCGCACTCCGGGCAGCAGAAGGGCCGCTCGCCCGTGTGGTGCCGCTGGTGGCGCGCCAGGTTGGGCTTCTGGCTGAAGCGCTTGCCGCACTTGCCGCAGAGGTAGGGCTTCTCCCCGGTGTGGGTGCGCTGGTGGATCTTCAGGGACGACCACCAGCTGAACCTCTTCCCGCAGTCCACGCACACGAAGTGACCCTCGCCGGCAGCCAGCGCGGGGCTCAGGGGCGGGGCTCGGCCTGCCAGCCGGGCGTGCTGCTGCTCAGGCGCGGCCCACCGCGGCCCCCCAGTCTCCGGGGTCCGCAGAGCTCCAGGCCGCCCCATGCCCTGGCATGGCCGGAGGCCCTGGTGCTGCTGGAAAATGTTCTCCTTGTCCTTCTCCGCAAGCCCGGCCTGCGGGGCCGGCGTCTGCAGCAGCCTCTCCGGCTTCTCCTGCTTGATCATCACCGGCTCATCTCCTGCCAGAGGCAAAGTAAGAGGACCGGAGAGGTCACTGGCTGAGCGGCGGGGTGGAGGGAAAGAGCCGCACCCGGAAGGGCAGCGAAGAGCTGCAAAGAATGAAGGCAGAGAGATTTATATGGAGGGAAGGATCTGGGGAGGAGATGGGGAACAGCAGAAAGGATGTGACTAGGGACAGGATGCGGGGGGGGGGGAATGCAATTCAGGAAAAGTAAGATACGGGGATGTTTGTGAGGCCAGGGAAATGGAGTCCAGTCCCTCCAGCTCAGCCACCTGACTTCTCTTACCCAGGCCTAGGATGTGCTAATTTTTAGAGAAACCACCGAGTGAAGTCTCCTGACCCATGGAAAAAGGTTGGCCAATTTTCTTCTTTCCTTTTTTGTTTTGTTTGTGTGGGCCAGTACTGGAACTTGAACTCAAAGCCTGGGCACTGTTCCTTAGCTTTTCACTCAAGACTGATGCTCTACCACTTAAGCCACAGCTCCACTTCCAACATTTTGGCCATTAATTGGAGGTAAGAGTCTCCAGGACTTCACTGCAAGGGCTGGCTTTGATCCATGATTCTCAGATCTCAGCCGCCTGAGTAGCTAGGATTACAGGCGTGATCCAGCCAAATTGGACACTTTCCTTTTTTAAAAAAAATTTGTTGTAGCTGGGCACTGGTGGCTCAAACCTGTAATCCTAGCTACTCAGGAGGGTGAAATCTGAGGATCAAGGCTCAAAGCCAGCCCAGGCAGAAATGTCCGTGAAACTCATCTCCAATAAAACACCAGAAAACCGGAAGTGGCACTGTGACTCAAGTGGTAGGGTACTAGCCTTAAGCAGAAGAGCTGAGGGAGAGCACCCAGGCCCAGAGTTCAAGTCCCACTACTGACAAAAAAAAAAAATTATTGTAAAGGTGATGTACAGAGGGGTTACAGTTATGTAAGTCAGGTAATGAGTACATTTCCTTTTGAACAGTGTCACCCATTCCCTTGTTATTTCCCAGTTTTTCCTCTCCCGACCCGTGTAGTATCACTGCTGAATCAGTTCATCCTTTGTTCCACCATTTCTGTGCTTTCCCTCCCCTCCCCAAAACAGATAGACTCATATACAAGACAAAGGGTGCAGAAATCAAATACAGTGACAAAAGGGAATAAATCAAAGGGAGGAAAAAGAACCACTAAACATACTGAAACAGGTGCTCAAAAACTGCTGGAAAAAACACTACTACTTTCTTAAGCCCATGAATTAAAAGTAGGCGAGCAGCTTGTCATCCCTGCGTCTTTGTCCTTTGCCCTGAGCCATTCTTTTTTGCAGGCAAATTGAAGCCATCTTGAAATCCACAAAGCAAACGTGGACGTGATACCATGACACCAGGTATCAACAGTTCATTGTAAGAAGGTCCGACCAGACCAACCCTGAAACGATGGACTGTGCAACCACCTCTGATGCCACCCCACACGTGCTCATGATTGGGTCTGTTTAACCGCGTACCTCACGCCCTGCCCCCCTTTGTCTATGTAAACCTATAGCTCATGGCTGACTCCTGAAAATGAAGGTGGGCTAAAATGTGTCTTCCCATGGCTGCCCATGCCATATAATAAACATCCTTTCCCTACCATCACCATGTCTCTTTCTATGGCATGTGGCGGTGATGGCCAGATCTGACTCGTGGAATTCCTGGAGTTTGGTCTAGGTCTACAACTGCTCCACGACAGGAGCCACCGTGTGGGAACACATCTGTTTGGCAGCTTCACCATTCATTAATAAAACCAAGGATGAGATTAGCCAAAAAGGCCTCAGCACAAGAAACAGGTGTTGCCTTGTCCTCAAATTCCACGCAAGTCCTTTCTCACAGGGCAACCTGCACTACCCTAGCTCACACCGCACATCCCTGGTCCACAGGTCTCCGGAAGTTCTCAGAGATGCAAAAACCAAAATGAAAGTTACCTGCTCACTGAAGAATATGTGCTATATAATTCCATTTATATGCACATCAAGCTGGCAAAAATAATCTGAGTTAGCAGCTAGGGAGGTGGAGACATTAAGGAGGCCTGGGTTCTGAAGGGTGGGCAGTGTTCTTTCTTGATGTGGGTGCCAATCACAGAGTCTTGTGCTTCTTCACTTTGGAAGATTTTAGGGAGCCCTGGGTCTTATTTCAATAAGAGTTCACACACAAGAAAAAGTGAGTGGAATAAAACACTTGTGGACAAAGAAGAGAAATACCTCTAAGCCACAGACATCAGCATTGCAAAGGCAATAAAATAAACCCAGCCAGGTGCCAGTGGCTGACGCCTGTAATCGCAGCTACTCAGAAGGTTGAGATCTGAGGATTCCAGGTGAAAGCTAGCCCAAGCAAGAAAGTTTATGAGACTCCTATCTCTAACCACTAAAAAGCTAGAAGTAGAGCTGTGGCTCAAGTAATAGCGTGTTAGCCTTGACCAAAAAAAAGATTATCCGGGCCCCAAATTCAGCCCCAGTACCAACACAAAAATTAACCCCAAAAAGGAAAAAAAAATAAAGATTACAGATAAAAATAAGGATTGCAAAAGAATTTTTTTTTTGCTTGAATTCAGAGCCTGTCCCTGAGCTTCTTTTGCTAAAGGCTAGGACTCTACCACTGGAGCCACAGTGCCATTCCGGCTTTTTTTTTTTCTGTGTATATGGTGCTGAGGAATCGAACCCAGAGCTTCATGCACGCTAGGCAAGCATTCTACCACTGAGCCACATTCCTAGCCCTACAAAAGAATTTTTTAAAAAAATCTACAAATTATGTCCAGATTTCACATCAACAAATTTGAATACACAAGATAGATGATCTTGTAAGATAATATGAATCAAAATTGACTCAAGAGTAGGTAGAAAGTCTGAGAATATGAACAGTTGAGGAAGCCAAAGTTTAACCCCAAAATAGGGTCATATGCTGACTGCATCAATAGGTTTTACCAAAAATTCAAGGGGAGGACTATGTCTAGCAATGAAATTATTACAGTAACCAGAGGAAAGGAAAGCAGAGAGGCAAGTCTATTAAATCCAGTATAGCTCTAGTGTTGAAACAAAACATAACAGGGTCAGGCAAGAAATTACAGCCTTATTGTTCGGTGAGTAGACTCAAATCTCAGCAAATCAAGTTCAGCATTTATTAATAATAGCTTACCAGGACCTTGCTGGCATTTTCCCTGGTAAAGCAAAACTGGCTTTATAAGATTCATGATATAACTTTATTAAAAGGAAAACACTGGCCAGGGACACTGCCCAGTGGTAGAACACTTCCTAGCATGCACCTGCTCCTTCCATCCTCAACACTGGAATCAGTCAATAAATGGAAAGCCTCATACCATTCTCAACAGGTGTGAAAAAGCCATATGATAAAAGTCAAACATTCTTTTGTGAGAAAAAGGAGGAGGAAGGGATAAAGGAAGGAATTAGCAAACCAGAAGTATAAGCAAACTTTCTAGAGTTGGCAAAAGGTATATACTAGAAATTATAGTAAACATTACAACCAAATGTGAGAGATCAGAAGACAATTAGAGTTAGGAGCAAAAGAAGAATACTCATGAGGCCCAGCTTAGTGTTATAGTACCTGCCTAGGAAGTGCGAAGCCCCAGTACTGCCACACCCCAAAAAAGCCTTTTTAAATACAAACCATAAAGACCAAAATATAAAAGACATAAGAAAGGCACTGGTAGCTCATACCTGTAATCCTAGATTCTTAGGCGGCTGAGATCTGAGGATCATAGTTCGAAGCCAGCCCAGGCAAGAAGAGCATGAGACTCATCTCCAATTAGCCACCAGAAGACCAGAAATGGAGCTGTGGCTCAAAGTGGTAAAGCCAAGTAAGAAGGTGAGGCCATGAGTTCGTGCCCGAGTACCAGCACACACACACACACACAGAGACAAACACAATAATTATAACTAAACCAGAAATGAAACTAAACCAGTTTGGAGCAGCACTTTCCAATGGAATGTTCTGCAGCACTGGAAATGTTTTGCCCACTCTAACATGGTACCTTGTACAACGTGGTAACCAGATACTTGAAATGTGACTAGTGCAACTTAGGAATTGTTTTTTAAATGGAAGCTAATTGAAATATACACTTAAAGTTCACGGTCATATGTGACTAGCAACCACATCATGGCCAGCACTAGCTTGGGAAAATTATTTGCTGACCTATAATCAACCAATGACTAATATCCAGAACAGAAGGATTCTGCAGCTCTGATGCAGAGTTTTCACCTCCCCAATCAGCAGCAAAACACAAGAGTGCAGCATCTTTGCACCCATTGCACCAGCAAAAATGGAAAAGGCGGGTAATACTTCTGCCTCATTGTATACATAGATGTATGGATTTGAGCAAGCACATATCCCAAGCTTCTGTGCTAATTGAAATTATCCTTTCCACCTAGCAACTTTGCTCTAGATATTAAACCTAAGAAATACATGCATGTGCAAAGAGGAATGCCCAAGAATACACACTCAAATGCTAACTGTAAATTAGCAAAGAATAGGGAAAAGTCCTTTAATATTTATTCACAATAGTTTTCTAAAGTATTTATTTGTTTACCACCAGTCCTGGGGCTTGAATTCAGGGCTTGGGCACTATCCCTAAGCTTTTGTGCTCAAGGCTAGTGCTCTACCACCTTGCACTACAGCTCCATTTCTGGCTTTTGGGTAGTGACTTTGAAATAGGAGTTCCTACCCTTGGGCTGTCTTTGAACCAAAACCCTCAGATCAGCTTCCTGAGTAGCTAGAATTACAGGTGTGAGCTACTGGCACCTGGCAACAAGAGTTGTTTTTGTTTTTTAATGCATAATATAAAAAAGACCATAACAATTAAAAAGATTGAATATATATACATATATATGTGTGTGTGTGTGTGTGTGTATATTTACCATGAAAAGATTCCCAAAACATGTTAAAAAATTATATAAATAACTTGATCCAGTTTGTGAAAAATAAAACTGAGGGGCTGGGAAGGTGGCTCAGTGGTAGAGTGCTTGCCTCCCATACATGAGGCTCTGGGTTCAATTCCTCAGCACCATATAAGCAGAAAAGGCCGGAAGTGGCACTGTGATTCAAGTGGTAGAGCACTAGCCTTGAGCTGAA